ATAACTATAAATATAAAATAAATAAATAATAAAAAGTATATTATAAATAAATTAGTATTTTTATAAAAATAAAAAAAAAAATGATATCTTTAATTTCAATATTAGAAGGTCTTTTAGTGATAGTACCTACATTATTATCAGTTGCTTTTGTAACAGTAGCAGAAAGAAAAACTATGGCAAGTATGCAAAGAAGATTAGGTCCTAATGCTGTAGGTTATTATGGTTTATTACAAGCATTTGCCGATGCTTTAAAATTATTATTAAAAGAATATATAGCACCAACTCAAGCAAATGTAGTATTATTTTTCTTAGGTCCTATAATAACTTTAATTTTTGCATTATTAGGTTATCTTGTAATTCCTTTTGGTTCAGGTTTATATATATCAGATTATAATTTAGGTATATTATATATGTTAGCTGTTAGTGCTTTAGCAACATATGGTATATTATTAGCAGGTTGATCTGCAAATTCTAAATATGCATTTTTAGGTTCATTAAGAAGTACAGCTCAATTAATTAGTTACGAATTAATATTAAGCTCTGTAATTTTATTAGTAATATTATTAACAGGTAGTTTAAATGTAATAACTATAATAGAATCACAAAGAGTAGTAAACTTATTATTTCCTTTATTACCTTTATTTTTAGTATTCTTTATAGGTTCTATAGCAGAAACTAATAGAGCTCCTTTTGATTTAGCTGAAGCAGAATCAGAACTTGTAAGTGGTTTCATGACAGAACATTCTGCTAGTATATTTGTGTTCTTTTTCTTAGCTGAGTATGCTAGTATTGTATTAATTTGTATTTTAAATAGTATTTTATTTTTAGGTGGTTATTTAAGTATTATACCTTTAGATATATTTATTAATATTTTAAGTTTATTTATAAATGTAAATAATACTATTTTATTTGATATATTTGTACATATTTCTTCTTCTCCTATAAATTTAGCATTAAAAACAGCTTTTTTAATATTTGTATTTATTTGAGTTAGAGCTTCTTTCCCTAGAATACGTTTTGATCAATTAATGTCTGTTTGTTGAACTGTATTATTACCTGTAACAATAGCTTATGTTGTATTAATACCTTGTATCGTATATGGTTTAGGAATAATTCCAACTAATATTTCATTATTATAGTAATATATTCTATTATATATAAATATATATTTAAATAAATAGCATATAATATAGGTATAGATATATATAAATAAAAAAAAAAATTATAAGAATAAATTAATTATTCTTATTAACTATATCTAACTTAATTGGCATACAATAAGTAAAAAAATATAAAAAAAGATATTACTTTAGATAATGTAATATACATTTTATAAATAGTAAATAAATTATTTAAATTATATATATATATATACAATATATATGTCATTATTATTATTATTAACACCTTTAGTAGGTATAGGATTAGTAACAATAGAAGCTAATTATGGTTTATCCATAATAAATAATATAAAAATAAAATCAATAGCATTAGTAACTACAATAATTAATTTAATAATCTCGTTAATAATGTTTATATTATTTGATTTTAGTAGTAAACAATATCAATTTATTGAAGAACATTATGAAATTAATTATTTTGATATATATTTAGGTGTAGATGGTTTATCAATTTATTTTGTATTATTGACAACAATAATAATGCCTATAGCAATATTATCAAATTGAAACTCTATACAATCTAAAAATGTATTATCATTTATAGTAATAATGTTATTATTAGAAACATTATTATTAGCAGTATTTTTAGTGTTAGATGTATTATTATTTTATATTTTTTTTGAAAGTATATTACCACCATTATTTTTATTAATAGGATTATTTGGATCAAGTAATAAAGTAAGAGCTAGTTTTTATTTATTTTTATATACATTATTTGGATCATTATTTATGTTATTATCAATAATTGTTATGACATCTATAATGGGAACATCAGATTTTGATGCATTAAGTAAAGCAAACTTTAATTATATAACTCAATTATTTTTATTTTATGGAATATTTATAGCTTTTGCTGTAAAAACTCCAGTAATTTTTTTAAATACTTGATTATTAAAAGCTCACGTTGAATCACCTTTATCAGGTAGTATAATTTTAGCTGGTATAGTTTTAAAATTAAGTTTATATGGTATATTTAGATTAATGTTACCTTTATTACCTAAAGCTTCTTTAAATTATACTTATATTATATATGTAATAGGTGTAATAACTATATTATATGCTAGTTTTAGTACATTAAGAACAATAGATATTAAAGAACTTATAGCTTATTCATCTGTATCTCATGCAGCTGTATATTTAATAGGTGCATTTAGTAATACAATACAAGGTATTGAAGGATCAATTGTTTTAGGTTTAGCTCACGGTTTTGTTTCATCAGGTTTATTTATATGTGCTGGAGGTGTTTTATACGATAGATCATCAACTAGATTAATAACATATTATAGAGGAATGGCTCAAATGATGCCTATTTTCTCTGTGTTATTTTTCATATTAGCTTTAGGTAATAGTGGAACTCCTTTAACTTTTAATTTCATAGGTGAATTTATGTCATTATACGGAGTATTTGAAAGAATGCCTATTTTAGGTGCTTTAGCTAGTACTTCTATAATTTTCGCTGCTGCTTATACTATATTTATGTATAACAGAATAATATTTGGAGGTTCTTATTCTATATATTTTATAGAAAATATAGGAGATGTAACTAGAAGAGAATTTATAATGTTATTAGTTTTTGTTATATTAACTGTATTATTTGGTATATATCCTGCTCCAATTTTAGATGGACTACATTATTCAGTTTCTTCTTTAATTTATAATATTAATTAAAAAAAAAAATATTAATATTAACTAAACATAGTATAATAAAAATAAAAAGTTTTTAAAAATAATTTAGTGTGAGTAAAGGTAGTAAATATCAAATAAATTATTTAAACTAGTAGGAGAGGGTGGTAGGGTTATATTCTTATTAGCTCAATGGTAGAGCAAAATACTTCTAATATTTTGATCTAAGTTCGAGTCTTAGATAAGAAGAGTATTGTAAATTATAAGCCTTTATAGCTCAATGGTAGAGCGGAATACTGTTAATATTTTGATAGATGTTCGATTCATCTTAAGGGCTAAGTTATACAATATATATATATATATAACTTCATCCATAATAGGTAAAATAGTAAAAATAAATAGCAAAGATAGCTTATAACTAAACTATAAATTTAATATAAAATATGCCACAATTAGTACCATTTTTTTTCGTAAATCAAGTAGTATTTGCATTTTTAGCATTAACAGTGTTAATATATGCATTTAGTAAATATATATTACCAAGATTTGTACGTATTTTTATATCTCGTATATATATTAATAAATTATAATTACCACAATTACTAATAATAAGCAAAACTTAAAAAATCTAGTATTGTTGAATTATAAATGTATACGAATATTAAAATTAAGTATCGATATAAATAATTTATAAATAGAAATTTATATATAAATTAACAATTTAAATTTATTAATAGAAAAGACAAATGTTTCATTTTGTATTAAGTCCGTTAGACCAATTTGAAATAAGAGATTTATTCTCTATAAATGCAAATGTTTTAGGTAATATACATTTATCTTTAACAAATATAGGATTATACCTATCAATAGGTTTATTTTTAACATTAGCTTATCATTTATTAGCTACAAATAATAATAAAATAATACCAAACAGTTGATCAATAAGCCAAGAAGCTATATATGCTACAGTACATAGTATTGTAATAAATCAACTAAACCCTACAAAAGGGCAATTATATTTCCCATTTATATATGCATTATTTATATTTATATTAGTAAATAATTTAATAGGTTTAGTACCTTATAGTTTTGCATCAACATCACATTTTGTATTAACATTCTCAATGAGTTTTACAATAGTATTAGGTGCAACATTCTTAGGATTACAAAAACATGGATTAAAATTCTTTTCATTATTTGTACCTTCAGGTTGTCCTTTAGCATTATTACCTTTATTAGTTTTAATAGAATTTATTTCATATTTATCTAGAAATGTTTCTTTAGGATTAAGATTAGCAGCAAATATTTTATCAGGACACATGCTTTTATCTATTTTAAGTGGATTTACATATAATATAATGACTAGTGGTATATTATTCTTCTTTTTAGGTTTAATACCTTTAGCATTTATTATAGCTTTCTCTGGATTAGAGTTAGCTATTGCATTCATTCAAGCTCAAGTTTTTGTAGTTTTAACTTGTTCTTATATTAAAGATGGATTAGATTTACACTAATTATAAATTATATACGTAAATTATTCACTTTAATTTAATTATGAAAATGACATAAAAAATAAAGTCCAATACTAATTAAGTATATAGGATTTAATTAACATACACGTAATATGTAAAAGATATAAAAATTTTCTGAAAAGGAAAGTCCAATACTAATTAAGTATATAAGCTAAAATAAGCAATATATAAATATAAGGAATTTAACAGAAACTAATAATTATTAATTAAATATCTAAATAATAAAAATTATTTAATTAATAATTGCGAACACTACCCCTATATTTAGTACTAATTTAGAATTATAATAAAAAAAAAAATCTTTTTTTTTTTAACAGAAACCGGCTTAATTATATCTTTATACGTAATAGATAAGTAGATAAAATCTGCAGATAAAAATTAGATATAAATTAATAAGTTTTCAATATAAATAATAGGGAAAATAACTAAACTAAAATAATTAAAAATAAAAATATCTGACAATAAAGGTATAGGTATAAGTATATTTATATACCTAAGACCTATACCATAAAAAATTTTTTGAGTTTGATGATGGCTCTGATTGAACGCTGTCCAAGTACTTGACACATGCTAATCGAACGACTAATTAGTTAAAAAACTAAGTAGTAGTGGTGTACAGGTGAGTAAAAGATAATTTGGCTACCTTAAAGTAAGGGGAAAATCCCTTATAGAAAAAAGGAAAATAAAAGTCCGCTTTAAGATGTTAATTATTATCACGGTGAGTAGTAGTAAAGGTAATGACTTTACTAGCTAAATCCGTAGTCGTGACTGAGAGGTCGATCGACCACATTGGGTCTGAAAAAACCCCAATGCGTTTTAGTACAGCAGTGAGGAATATTGGTCAATGGCCGAAAGGCTGAACCAGTAACTTGGAAGAATGAAAGTGTATTATAATAATACAATAACGATTAAGTCGTATAAAATTCTAAATAGAATAATGATAATGACAATTTTCTATTTATAAGTCTTGACCAAACTACGTGCCAGCAGTCGCGGTAATACGTAGAAGACTAGTGTTAATCATCTTTATTAGGTTTAAAGGGTACCTAGACGGTAAATTAAACTCTAAATGAGTACTTGTTTACTAGAGTTTTATGTAAGGAGGAAGAATTTCTGGAGTAGTGATTTAATATGAATAATCTCAGAGAGACTGGTAACGGCGAAGGCATCCTTCTATGTAAAAACTGACGTTGAGGGACGAAGGCTTGGGTAGCGAGAAGGATTAGATACCCTAGTAGTCCAAGCAGACAATGATGAATGTCATAGACTAGATATAAATTTAGTCTATAAATGAAAGTGTAAGCATTCCACCTCAAGAGTACTATGGCAACATATAAACTGAAATCATTAGACCGTTTCTGAGACCAGTAGTGAAGTATGTTATTTAATTCGATGACCCGCGAAAAACCTTACCACAGTTTGAATATTTTACAAGCGCTGCACGGCTGTCTTTAGTTAATGTCGTGAGATCTGGTTAAGTCCTTTAATTAACGAAAACCCTCACTTTATTTATATATATAAAGTGGATCGCCAATATATAGGTTAGATAATAGGGATTAAGACAAGTCATCATGGCCTTAATACTGTGGGCTATAGACGTGCCACATATGCCTTTACAAAGGGATGCGATTTTGTGAAATTGAGCTAATCCCCCAAAAAAGGATATAATATGGATTGTAGTCTGTAACTCGACTACATGAATAAGGAATTACTAGTAATCGTGAATCACCATCGTCACGGTGAATTTAAAATCAGTTGGGTACTAACCACTCGTCAGGCGCTGAAAGAAGTATGTGCAAGAAGTTTGATTTGCTTATATTTTTAATATATATAATTAGTTATATAAATTTATAAGTTAAATTTTCGTATGCATGACTTTGATTGGTGTTAAGTCGAAATATGGTTCGTGTAATGGAAATTGCACGGGATGAATTAACATTAACAATAAATATTTAAATATACATATATGTATGTAAAAAATATATGTTTATTATATTAAATATATATAAATAAATATATATATGTATTATCTTTAAAAGGTAAATTGAAAAAAAAAAAAATAATAAATTTTTTCAATCTGGTTCAAATCCAGTATAAGATAAAATATTAAGGAAGGGTCCGTATGTTGGTCTTACGGGTTGAGCTGTAAACTCAATGACTATCAGTCGTCGAAGGTTCGATTCCTTTTCTTCCTAATAACTTTCTAGATATTAGAAATAATGAAAGAACAATTTAATTAAATTATAATGAATAATTATTTAATATATAACAATCATGTATCTAATGGATTATTAGATATTTTATTAATCAATGATTATATAACTAATGGATTTAAAGTAGAATTTTTAGATATATTATATATAATATCAATATTATTTGGAGTATTTACAATTATAAGTAGAAACCCGGTAGTATCTGTATTATTTTTAATAGGTTTATTTGTAAATGTAGCAGGAATATTAATATTAGCTGGTATAAATTATTTAGGATTATCTTATATATTAGTATATGTAGGTGCTATTTCAATTTTATTCCTTTTTATATTAATGTTAATAAACATTAGAATATCTGAACTTTTAAGTGAAACTAATAATGATATACCTTTAGCTATATTAACAGTTTTATTATTTTATTATATAATAGGACAAGTATTACCTTGTAATTTAACAGATAAAACAATAATATCATCTTTATCAAATAGATTAACAGGATTATATAATATAGAAATAAGTAATGAATCAAGTATAGTAAATTTAAATCAAGAAATAGGATATGTAAGTAGTAAAGGTTGAGATAATTCATTAATAGAGTTTACACAAATAACAGGTATAGGTAATTTAATGTATACTAATTACTCAATATGATTGATAATAAGTTCAGTAATATTGTTATTAGGTATGGTAGGAGCTATAATAATTAATGTAAAACAAAAATAATTATTGAAAACTTGTTAAAAAATAAAAAAAAAAAATGATACATCAATCAAAAAGAAATTTTCAAAATCATCCTTTCCATTTAGTGTCTCCATCACCTTGACCACTATTTACTAGTATTTCATTATTTGTACTTACAACTGCAACAGTTTGTTTTATGCATGGTTTCGAAGGATTCCAATATTTAGTACCATTAGCTATTTTTAATGTAATGTATGTAATGGGTCTATGATTTAGAGATGTAATATCAGAAGGAACATATTTAGGTAATCATACTAATGCTGTACAAAAAGGATTAAATTTAGGAGTAGGTTTATTTATTATATCTGAAGTATTTTTCTTCTTAGCTATATTCTGAGCATTCTTCCATAGTGCTATATCACCTAGTGTAGAATTAGGAGCACAATGACCTCCATTAGGTATACAAGGTATAAATCCTTTTGAATTACCATTATTAAATACAATAATTTTATTATCATCAGGTGTAACTATAACTTATGCACACCATTCATTAATACAGGGAAATAGAAAAGGAGCCTTATACGGAACATTAATAACAATAATATTAGCAGCAATATTTACATTCTTCCAAGGTGTAGAATATTCAGTATCATCATTCACAATATCTGATAGTGTTTATGGTTCATGTTTCTATTTTGGAACAGGTTTCCACGGTATACACGTTATTATAGGAACAGCATTTTTAGCTGTAGGTTTATGACGTTTAGCAGCTTATCATTTAACTGATCATCACCATCTTGGTTATGAATCAGGTATTTTATAC